AAAAAGTGACATTATGTCACTTTTCTATCGAAAAAGTAACATTATGTCACTTTTCTGTCAAAAAAGTGACATTTGTGTTTAAGTTATTGTTAAAAAGGTGACATTTTTCCTTGACATTGCAAGTGTGTTCAAAATTCGACAAATAATACTGCTTTTTGACATTATGTCACTTTTCTGTTGAAAAAAGTGACATTATGTCACTTTTCTGTCTCCATTGACATTAAGTGTGTTCAAAATTCACAAATAATGCTACTTTTGTTAAAACATAAGTGACACTGTTAAAAAAAGTGACGCAGTGTCACTTTTTTCCTGGTCACCAGCTCTAAGTGAGGAGCTCCTTCGCTCGTGCCCCCCACCCGGGAGTCACGAGCTTAATTGCTGGAGTCACAAGCTTAATTGCTTTTCTTTAGAGCTTAGTACAAGTTCTCTCAAAAATAAATCTAACACAAACTTAAGATCTAACAAATCTTCAAGCAAAAACAAGAGATCCATAAAGGTAAAAAAGTGACGCAGTGTCACTTTTCTGCTGAAAAAGTGACATTATGTCACTTTTCTGTTGAAAAAGTGACATTATATCACTTTTTTGACATACAAGAACTATTGTGTTTAAAGAATATTAGAAGCTACATCACCAATCCCTGCTCCATTGATGTTGTAAAAGAATTGGTCATTAACAATTGAAGTTGTCTACCACCATTAACATTGCCACTTTTCCCTAAATCAGTTACTATATACAAAGCGTCAAAACTAAACTACTAGCTAAATCAAATCAGTCATTACAAATGAAGGCACGTCATTACCAAAACAAGACATGTTTCTTCAATTCCTCAAAATTACCTACTTCTCTATCACATCAGGATCACCTACTTCTCTATCACATCAGGATATAGCTACTCCATTTCCTTTGACACCCATTCATTGTCTGTATCATATTCCTCTTCTTGCTTCTTCTTTCCATAAGCATATAGTTGAGCTGCCAAATTTCTTCTAAGATGTGGAACATTAAAAGACTTTGGCATCTCATTTAGCATTCCATTAATGAAGTACTGGGCATACTTAATTACATAGATTCCACAATCTCCACTGCATGAAATAATGAAAAATACTTTAGATAATTACATACTAGAATGTCAGATGAAAAAAAAAACATCTTCAGAAATAAACTTACCCATTATTTTGTTGTGGAAGTTTTGGAATCATTTTTACAACTAATGGTTTCAAAGCTTCTTCTTCTGAAATGCCCTTTCCCTCAAAGAAGCCAGTATGAAAGAGAAGATGAGGAATAATATCAGAAAATGGTTTAATAGCCTCAAGTACTAATGCCTTTCTCACAACCTTGTTGTACGAATTATATACATTAAGACACATATGTTGAATGTCAATATGACACAAAATCCAATGAGCTGAATTGGACATTCTAATTGGAATAAGCACATGGTCAACAAGGTTATACAACCCAATAACATATGATAGAAGAGAAGTCTGCTTTTTTAGAGCTGACTTATCTTGGCAAAAGTCGGCGTAAAGACCTCTCATTTGGCTATCAAACGGGAAATCTGTGGTTGTAGCCTTTATGTTTATCCCTTCTCCATATCTTAACAACTTTCTTAAATAATAGAAACACACATCAATATGCTACAAAAAAAGAGAAAAATGACAAAATCAACAATAGTAATAAACAAAATAATCTTAAAAACAAAAACATATAAAATAACTTACTGTATCTTCCAAACATTCGTTTGGAATAAACAACTCATACCACCATTGTTTTGTAGAGATTGCAATGTCACAAAAATAAAAGCATGGATTGATAACGGAATTTTCATCATTGAAATGTTTTTTCCTACATAACAAAATGGAAAAAGTCACATGAAAGTTACTGTACTGGAAAAAATTCACAAACAACATATATTAGTAACAACTTACTTATTTTTCTTTACCAATCCCTTGTTAAACCAAAGTTCAAAAGCATCAACATCATGTGCCATTGGAGGGCCAACACCAACCGGGAATGCAAAAGTACCTTTAACAACACGTTTCTTAGTCCCCGATGTAGAATCAAATTCATTGACCCAGGGGGACTAAAGAAGCACTCCTGGTTTCTTTTGTCTTTTCAGATGCATGTCTGGGGTCTCAGCTTCAATATCAATGATTCGAGCATTTCCCTCTTCAATTTCAGTTTCAGCTTCAATTGCAGTCGTTACTTCCACAACTTTCTCCCAAACATCATCTTTCAGTTCAACCTCCTCCAAAAAATCAATTCTGCCTTCATTACATGGTGATACAACATCCTGGGACATGAACAATAACACAAATTCAAATTATATTAATGTAAAAACATGCACAAGTTATGACGAAAAAGTTGATAGAATAAAAACATAAGTACTTCTTGATTTTTTGCTAAACTACGAGCAACAATATCATCAACTTTTAACCAATCATCTTCATGAAATTCTATTTCTTCATTCAAATTCATCTCGACCGCCTTATCACTTTTTACCACTGCCCTGAGACTTTTTTCCACTGCTTTGTCACTTTTTTCAACTGACTTGTCACTTTTTCTGACAGGCACCTCTACATCTTTTTCCCCACAACTCAATTCAAACTCAATACCTAAAGAAAAACTAGGGAAGTCATTATACACCTGGTCTGTTTCATCAGGTAAACATTCCACACCATCCTACAAAAAAAGTCACAAAGATAATAAAAAAAGTGACAATAAGTTAAAAAGGTAACAAAATTCAGCAAAAAGTTGCAAGTATGAATTCTAAACTCAATAACTCTTGAATACCTTCGTTTGTTCTTTATTACCATCTAACATCTTGTCTGTTTCATCAGGTAATCTCTCCACACCATCCTACAAAAAAATCACAAAGATCATCAAAAAGTGACAATAACTTAAAAAAGTAACAAAATTCAGTAAAAAGTCGCAAGTATGAATTCTAAACTCAATAACTCTTGAATACCTTCATTTCTTCTTTATTACCAGCTAACATCTGGTCCGTTTCATTAGGTAAACTCTCCACACCATCCTACAAAAAAGTCACAAAGATAATAAAAAAAGTGACAATAATTTAAAAAAGTAACAAAATTCAGCAAAAAGTCGCAAGTATTAATTCTAAACTCAATAACTCTTGAATACCTTCATTTCTTCTTTATTACCAGCTAACATCTTCTCTACTCTGCATTCCAAAATTTGAAGACGCTCCATCACTTCTTCATTTGTTTTAATCCTTTCTTCAACATCTTTTAGCCGGTTCTCAATCGGATTTGATTGTATTCTACGTTCAAGATCTGAGATTCGTTTTAAAATCACATCATTTGATTGAATAGATTTCAGTTCAACCTCGGATAGCCGTCTCAAAACTTTTTCATTTGATTGCTGGACTTGCTGAAAAGAATGTAAAATAATAAGAACCTTTGAAAAAACTTCGAGCATGGTGAACAGAAAATAATAAAAAGAAAAAATACCCACAAACCTCAATAATCTTCCCTTTGTTTTTCTTTTCTGTAGACCTTCCAGTTCGGTCAACAAATTTTGTTTTTCCTTCATCTGTGAACTTTTTCAGGCCAACAATAGGATGCTCAAAATTATCATCATCCTGGTCACCACCCAAACCTTCAACAAATAAACCAACCACATACTCTTCTCCCTTCTCAGCCTCGAGAGGCACAATTTGATTCACATCCAACTGAAAAATAAATAATCATATCAATAACAGCAAAAGATAAACTAAAGACATAATATAAACAATAAAAGGGTAAAAAACTTGTGTCAGTAGGCAAATTTAAAAACACTTCTTGAACTTCTTTTGTTGTGACACTTTCGTGATCTTTAAAATATTGTTCTTTTAAACGACTCTTCATTCTATATCGAGTTAGATCACCATTTCCAGTACACTTAAGCCCTGATATCAAACAAAACTCTTTGATTGAAAATCTTACCAATTCATCAAAGATATTAAACCACATTTCATTTGAATTTGGCTGCTTAACTTGTCTGAGCAGCAACTGGTGTATCAACTGTGGTTGTAAAATTATTTCCTTCAAATCAATAAAGGCACCAAAGCATGTATTTTTGAATAAAGTCCTTTGATATGGACTAAATTTTTCATTCAAGTCTGTTATCACCTCGTGTGGAGATAACAACGTCACTTTTCCTTTGAACCAACAGGATTGAGGGATTAATAAAATCCCAATCCTACAAAAAAAAAAAAAAACAGTTAAAATAAAATTCAAGAAGAAGTACATGCATTATGAAAGTCCAAAAGTGACACAAATTGTAAAAAAGGTGACACAAAACCAAAAAAAGTGACAAAACCATCATAAAGATGCTTCCTCATCAAAACACAACCAAAAAAAGTTGTAATTTATTTTATTTTGTAGTTAGTATTGCTTCATATGGACGTCAGTAAATGAGTACTCTAACTTGAGCTTTTGACAAGCTAATTCAACCTTTATGGAAAGTGGTCATTGTATCAATTTTATGACTATTATCATTATACTTAAAACAAAGTTTTGGAAATTAATAGGACAGCAGTAAGAAAATTTTGAAGTTTACATATGACAGATAACTCAAGTGCAATGGATGGGCAAATTTGTTCATTGGAAAATCATATAAACAAAGGCACAACCACCATGCATACAAACACATCCACACATTTTTTTTTTCGTGCATTCTGAAGTCACCATGTAAGACCAACTAGAAACTATGAAAACCAAAGTAGCATTATAGCAGCAAAAAAATGTAAATCAGTAAAATTTACTAAAATCATTGCTAAAGATACACAATCTTCATTCACTGCACAAAATATACAAAAACCATTGAGAAGCACACAAAAATCGTAAAGAACAAGAGAATGTACGCAATATAAGTCAATAAAACATAAAAAAAAAAATGTTGAAATCGTAAAGAACAAGAGAATGTACGCAATATAAGTCAATAAAACATAAAAAAAAAATGTTGCTACCTTCGGTTTATAAGAAGATGAGGAAACTTTGGTCCTCTTCTTTAAGGATGGTTCTTCGAGATTTCTTTGCCTCTTCGATTCACTTTTTTCAGCCATTGCAAAAATATGAGTTAATTGTTGGAATCGAAATTAGATTTTCGATCTAGGGTTTAGGCTATTTGGGATTTATGGTCAAAATGATAACGAGACAAGAAACAAAACGATTACGAAGGGAAAACGAAGAAGAAATTGAGGGAAAATGGGTCGAAAATGGAGATTTACAGTCGTATGTTGCTGGACGATTTCCACAATGATAACGAGACAAGAAACAAAACGATTACGAAGGGAAAACGAAGAAGAAATTGAGGGAAAATGGGTCGAAAATGGAGATTTACAGTCGACGATTACGAAGGGAAAACGAAGAAGAAATTGATGGAAAATGTTTTGATTAGGGCTTGCCGTAGAATTTCGTTTAGGTTTCGTTTTAATTTTACCAATTTAGGACGTAAATAATACTTCTTTAGAATATTTTAATAATTTAAAAGGTATTAATCAAAATATTTTAAAAAAGGGCGTACATGGCCTAATTTCCTCTTCCTTATTTATGTGTCACGTGCCTTTGTTTGATTTTCATTTTTTTCTCTTCTTTTCAATCACACATTTTTTATTATAATAATATAACATATAAATAAAAAGCTTTTTCTTAATTTTCAACTGCACATTTTTGTTAATATACTATTCTAAAATGTATTTTTCATAAAAATGAGGCTCAAAGTTGACAATAACCCCCGCTTGACCCCCATTTTTGGGAAATAAAAATGTGTGGAATAGTTTTTATTGGAAAAATGAGTGGTTGAAATTAGAAAAGAGAAAAATGAAATATAATTTAATGAGTAACATAAGATGGTTCAATTGACGGTAACTCTAGTGTATTATTCTTTGAGGTATATATGAAGGCATCGAATGACGCTATTTGTATAGGTAGCACAATCTTTAGATAAAAACGCAGTTATTAATCTTGATTCTACCAACGACTATTGAAAATTTGAAAGTGGAATGAAATCAAACGCAACCCCTTCGTACAACTCTCATTCTCTATCGTAACTTACAAAGAAGCTAGGTCAGGTTGACACTCCAAGATGATGGGGAGAAGCTTTTCGTCGATGCCGATCGAGTTTCAGACCATAAACGGACTTCAACAACTTGCCGAAACTCGCCGATTCAAGGTACTAACTTTCCTATATTTATTATTCAATTCCCCCTTTGCATTTTTCTCAAATTATTATTATTTATTTATTTATTTATTTTTGTCTATTTGCTCAAATTTCTACCAGTATTCTGAAGTCAGTTCAATTTGCTTCTACTTGTATCTTACTATTAGTTTCTGCAAGCTGAATGAGCAACTAATTCATATATTGGCATGTTGGGTAAAAAAATTGAGTACTACTGGACTGTATCATTGTTTATTATACCAAATTGCATTCAATGCGTTCTTTAATGTGCATCCATCATTGCAGCGTAATCCATGAATTTGCCCCTGTTTGGTTTCGATAAAAATCATATTTTTACAGTAGATTTTGATAAAAGCTGATGAAATGTGTGGTTAAAAAGTTGATAAAAGTTTAGGGTCCATGATTTGGGAGAAAATGGGTTTCAAGAGATGGGAACCAAACAGGTGCTGATTACTACTGTCTTAAAAGCTCAAATACGAATGTTAGACGAGGTAAAAGGGATTCTGATGCATAGTAACACTTGAATGATCACAATAGCATTGAGGGAACACCAGAGCAATTGACATGCACAAAACAATAGGAACTTTTCGTATAAGACAGACTTCGTTTATTGTTCTCTTTGTTCTTTGCGTTTTGGTTTCAGCCGGTGTCAAGTGTATAATCTAGTATATTGTTGAATCACTTGATCTAAAATCTTACAATGTTGTTTTAATCTTTTCAGCATATACATTGTTCAGAAGTTTAATAAGTTGAATGACATTTTTGCAAATGCTTTTAACACTTCACTATCCGTGTTAGTAGGCATGGTTCTTGGACCAGTTTGGAGTTCTACATGATGGAAAACAACCATACCCGGGTGCCATTTCGACATGTATGTTTTCATCTGTTACCTTGTCATTTTGTATGCTTATTTCTTTCTGTCAGTTAATATTGTGTGTATTTCAACCAACGTGTTTCAACATTGACTAAAATTTACACTTGTTTCTCTGTCTGTGTAACAGTAGAGAAGTTGGCAAATTATGGTACTAAGATGGTGATTATTAGTAATTCTTCGAGGCGGGCATCAACTACTTTTGACAAGTTGAGAAGCCTTGGATTTGATACCTCACTCTTTGTGGGAGCCATCACTAGTGGGGAATTAGCGCACGAGTACCTGTTAAGGTCATATTACCTCACATGTAATTATGTTCTATATGTATTTGTATTGTTAAGATTCATCTATAAAGATTTTTGTAGTCGATTCAAGGAGTCCAATTTCTGGTTTACTATACATGTTTAGACTCATAAAATTTTCCCAACTTGTCATTTTTGGTTTTCAATTTCATGTTTTCAGGGCTCCAAAGTCAAAATACTATTGCTAAAGTTTTTACTTCGTTCATCGATGCATTTATAATTATACTAATATGAAAAACATGAAATACCATTGAAGTTCAGCTTATATAAATTATACCTTTAATGATTAGAGTGCATGCTTGTCCATCATATTTAGCCAATTTTCTTATAATTTACTGAAACCACTACTTATTATTGAGTTATTATTATTATTTTAAGTTTATTTTCTGATCAAAACCTATGTTTGCCTTATCATCTTGCAGAATTATATTAAAAAACTGTATGATTATCTTCAATTTTTTTGGTTTTTAATTTTTTCAGACATTATTAATCTAATCCGTGCCTATCTAAGTTGAAGAAAGATCAAATGTTATCCTTAAATATGCCCATTGGTTATGCACTCCTTGCCTGAGGTCATGGTTTCTGTAGGGTGAGATTGAGAAGTGGGTTGTGGACTGTACCCTTATCCCAATTTCTCATTTTGGCCGATGATCGAGTGATGTCTTTATTGCTGAACAAACTTGTTCAAGTTTTTCAAGTTGCTTCATTATATTTAACGTTTTATTCCATATCTCATGATATGGATTTACTAAATCAAATGATAACTTTGTAAATCTGGTATTACTTTAGAGATGGGTTTCACCTCTCATACTTTACTCAAGTTTAACTGTTGCAATTCCCCGCCAAGTGCTAGCTTTGCTTACACAATGCTTTTACTGTATTTAAAATGCAAAAGATTCTCTGCTTCCTTTTTGGAGTTTCTTTTGGTGATTTTTCTGATAAGATATCACAGAGGTTTTCATGGAAAATTTTTCCACACAAAAGAGCACTGTTTTAGATATTTTGAAACATAAAACCTAGTACCTTTATGAATAAGTATTAAAAAAAGGCTAAAGTTAATATTGCACAGTTAGGAACCTTAAGTAGTAAAATATATGCTGTTATCATATTTAACTATAATATTTTTTTTCAAGTTTTGGTATGCCTTATCCAGTCATTTCATCAATTACATATTACTTCTTCCCATAGATGTTGCCATATTATGATTATTTTGTTGGAATGAAATATTTAGTAATGACACCATGAAAACTTTTATTTCATGGAACTCATTCTAACAGGAGAGATGATCCATGGTTTACAAGACTAGGAAGATCGTGCATTCACATGACCTGGAATGACCGAGGTGCTATATCTCTTGAGGTATGCCAAGTTTATGAGTTTTCATTGCGAATAGTTATGTTCCAATTCTTAGTACAAGTTTTCTCCACTTTTAATGCGATAAGACTATTTACTATTTCAAATTCTTACTGATACAGTTAGTTAGCATGATAAAAAAAATCACATAGCTTTTTATTTAGTAGGCCAAGCAGTGCCCGGCCTTGATGTGGCGAGGCACTGACCAATATGGGCTGTGGCTATTGGCTGTAAATACAGCCCATAAAAGAAAATATGCAGGCAGTGCGTGGCATCCACTTGTTCAGGCACTGCATGGACCTACCTGCCTGGCATTCACTCTCCAAGGCATTGTGTGAGCATAACAGGTTGGTCAGTGCTTGGCCACAATCAGGCTAATCACCATCCAGCACGGAATACGTCAAGTGCACTATATTTCACATCGACTTCATGACTAGCGTCGCTGCTGAACTCAGGATTTGTTATCCTTGATAATAACACATGTCCAGCTTAATTGCCCAAATTAGTCTATGAGTATGGTCCTTACAACATGAAAGGGGATTTTTTCGAGAATTTTCTACACATGCTTCACTCAGATCCTTCGTGCACAATCTTCATACAAATCTTGCCGGAATCAATTCACAAAAAGTCCATCGATACTACTTCATGATTAATATCACTTGCTACAAGTTTTCTCCACTTTTTCTGCGATAAGACATATTCCAAAGGAAATGTATGTTTTTTTTCTCCTCCCAGTCAATATATTATAGGCCATTTCTGCTTGTAAATTGGTAAATGACAAATAAATGATATATCTCACTTGGAGGGTGACCAGGGAATGAGTATTAAAAAACAAATAGTAAAAGAGATTGAAAGAAAAAATGGAAATTCTCAAATTAGTGTCTGTCAAAGTAAGCACTAGAAACTTAGTGTTTTAGACTTAACTCATTACCAAATTTTAAGAACTGAAATAAAGTTCTTCAGTTGTTATTTTTGCTGGAACAATCAGGCCTGTTAGAGGCTCTTGAAACCTTGAAGACCCGAAAACCTATTCTGACTAGGGAAGCTTAAATCACTAGCTAGTTGGAAGTTGGAACTAATTTTTTTTTTCTAACTCAAAGAGTCTATATGAATCTAGTTTGTACCGAACTAATATTCAAGTATAATAAGAATGATATCATGTTTGGCAAAACTTAAATTATTATATAAGCTGGTCGAACATACTTTTTATTCATATTTTTGTATTATCTTATTATCCCACATTTCTTGGAGTTCACGGCTTTATAAGCACTTAAAAGCATTGTCATAAAGCACTAAGAATGTCCAAGAAAGATTTGAAAAAACTAACTCTTGTTTCTGCATTACATGCTTTTCCGACGTGTTGTGCCATGTCAAACACCAACACCCTTGAATACTTCAAGACACGTGTCTAACATGAACTTCATGTCAACTTTTTTCTTTACGTCTACTATTATGTATATTTCTGTAGTAATATAAAATTAATCTCAAACTTTTTTTTTTAAATAATAAATATCTACTCATATGACTTAAAAGATTTCACCAAAAAACTAAAAATGGTATTGATTTTGTTAGGGAATAAGTACAAAAATAAAGATATTATATAAATTTACAATTTTAAAAAATTTAAATTGACGTGTTCCATACATGTCTAGGTCCTAGTTTTTTTAAATAACACATAGGCATGTCAGTGTCGTGTTGCGTGTTGCTTATTAGTGGCCAGGGAACCAAAAAGAATGTTTATAGGATGAAAGAAGAAAAAGCGAATTTTGTTTGGAAGAAACTCTCATCCCCAATACTCATTTATATCCCATATGAGTTGGAAAATTGAGAATGCAAGAGAAGCGCTTGCAACAAGAGTATTGTTGGTTTTTGCCATCACACACCTCTATTACTCTTTAAGAGGCATCCACCACGACTCAAACTATATTTTCCTGAGCATGAAGTCAATGCTTTTTCTCTTTCTTAAAGTTTCAGTTCTTATGAATGCTTTACTATAAGAAAGCTCTTAATTGTTCTTTTTCAGTTCCCCATTTTTGTATCCATAAATTTGTGAGTAAATATCTTCCTTTAGGGCTTGGATTTACAAGTTGTGGATAATGTTGAAGAAGCTGAATTTATTCTGGCCCATGGTACAGAAGCTTTGGGGCTTCCTTCTGGTGCTGCACTTTCCATGATGCTTGAGGATCTTGAGAAAATTCTGGAGCAGTGTGTTGCTAAAAAGATTCCTATGGTGGTAGCAAATCCTGATTTTGTTACAGTTGAGGCTAGAGCTCTTCGTGTTATGCCCGGTGAAGATCTATTTTTTTGGAATAATATTCTAACTCATCCTACTTATGTATTTCCTTTGTTTTAAAGCTATCGCTTGTTGCCAATTCTGACAGGAACACTAGCAGCCACGTATGAGAAGCTTGGTGGGGAAGTGAAGTGGATGGGCAAGCCTGGTGAGGTGATTCTATCAATACATTGACAATCATTATTTGATTTATTTCTACTCCTAGGACATTTTTCTACAGATTTGTTTGGTTTTATTTAAATTCAATAAACTGTCTGAGAGAGAGAGAGAGAGAGAGAGAGAGAGTTTTATTATCGTATCGAGACAATATACAATTTTTTTTTGGGAATTAATGCAAAAGTAAATGAGAGAGAGGGAGAAGGTCTGAGGCCTGTGTTCACTCATACTGTATAGTGGATTCTCACTCTCAATAGATAGTGGTATCCAAATTTGTAACTTCTCTCTATCACAGTCATAATGCATAGTAAGATATCTGCAAATGTGTTCTCTGGTCAGGAAAATTTTAGATATCATTCAATTTATAAGTTGGCAGATTGTCATTTGCAAATGACATTTGTAAATCAGCACTCTTATCATTTTCTGAATTTCTCATTCTTTTCCCCTTGATTGCCGTCAAATTTTGGAAGAGGTCTTTGATCTGAAAAGTTAGTTGCAAATCAGTTTCCATAGAGTGTGGTGTCGCCTCTTTGTCAACATGGTTCTTGGAAAAATACTTTTTTCACCTTCTTTTCCCATGAGGAATACAAGCATAAATACTAATCCAACTGGGTTGACTATTTTTGAAGTTATGCCACTATTATCATTAAATTGGATTAAACGTGGCTTTTGCAAATCAGTTTCCATAGAGTGTGGTGTCTCCTCTTTGTCAACATGGTTCTTGGAAAAGTACTTTTTTCACCTTCTTTTCCCATGAGGAATACAAGCATAAATACTAATCCAACTGGGTTGGCTATTTTTGAAGTTATGCCACTATTATCATTAAATTGGATTAAACGTGGCTTTTGATTTCTGGTGTTAGAATCTGTATTTTGAGCATAGCTTTTTTTATGATGGTTTTCCTTGCGGTCTTGCCACAACAACATTAAACACATGAGTTCAACAAGTTAAAGACATTGTTTGTCACCCAATTTATCAGGTTGTTACTTTAGTCACTGATTTTTTTCAAGTTAGATACTGAACCTTCATTTCTATTTCAATTTAGGCTCTCAGTCTACCTTCATCTGGCAAATTAACAGCAATACTGACATGAAAGCTCTTAACATAATTTTTCTTGTCCAACTTGGAAAAAATATGTCTTGTTGGACAAGTAGTGCTTTCCTTTTTCTTTTGAATTTCTTTGTTTCTTTAAAAAATGCATTTCGGAGACACGACTTGTTTAACAATATGCATTTTTGCCTAGCTGGACAACAAATAATGCTCTAACGATTTTAATGCCACATCATTTCCATCAGCCACGACATGCCTGTTAGTTGAGTAGGACAGAATGCTTAAATTGAAACCAAAGCAAGGTTCAAAGATTTACTTGGAAACAAAAAAATAAAAAATAAAAATCGGTGACCACAGTGAAACAAGGTTGACTGACCGAGCTTTTAACCCGACTTCGACTGTTACACATGCCATTGTGGTTCAAGACATTAATGGCTTTACGTGTTTAATGTTATCAGATAATATATAAATCTGCCATGGGGATGGTTGGTGTGGATGCTACTGATTGTATTGCTGTTGGAGACTCTCTCCACCATGATATAAAAGGTGCAAATGTGGCAGGGATCTCTTCTGCTTTTATCACTGGAGGGGTCCATGCAACTGAACTCGGACTTGGTAAATTCGGAGAAACTGCAGATAACTCTTCTGTTCATGCTCTTGCCACGAAATACGAGGCTTATCCAACATATGTGCTCCCATCATTTACATGGTAGCCTCATTATTGGTGAGCAGTTTATTTCTTCCAACTCTCATGTGTACTCTCTTAATTTCTCTTAGTCTTGAAAGTGCATGTTGGCTAAGCTGAATAATTTTACTTTGTATGAAATAGAGTATCTTTTAAAATAGATAATTTATTTATTGGTTGAAATTTGAAATAAGTCACTTATTTTGAAAGCAATTTTCACTGTATAGTCAAAATAAGTAACTTTTGTACTTATAAGTGAGAATAGGTAAACATTCTAAACGTGATTGGAAACAAAAATTTACTTTACAGTAAGGTTGACTTATTTTTAAGCTTAGTCAAATATACTTTGAGCGTCTTCTTGTCTAAGCTTAAAAGATTTATTGTTTACTTATGTATACCTTTACTATGCGTCATGTGATTTCATACATATCAAATTATTTTTTTCATGTAAGATTGTAAATAGGTTCTTTTTCTTTAAATTATTGCAGTGTTTTTGTGTGGCTCAGAAGCACAACTTCCAATACACTCGCAGTACATGGAAGAGCATCGATTTTGAGTCTGCATCCTTTTATTGTCAAAACAAGAATATTGTTTTAGCGCTCAGGTCTATGTTGAAAACCTGCTAAAAAGGGCTGCAACTCTCCCTTAAGTTGTACTAAGTTTGTTATAATGTTGCAAGGGCCGTCAAAGAACATGCTACAATGAGATGACTCCTGCTGATTCTTCGTCACCTGTTTATTGATCCTGCATTGAAATTGATATTTAATTTTTGTTACTTCATGGAATCTAGCTTGCCCAATGGTGCAACTATTTAATGATTCATTACATTCATTTCGTTAAATGATGTATTTGTGACGTTGAATTGGACATGACTGAATATGATAAAAGAAGAGAGATGCATATTTTTGCATACCTCATGCTAATCGATGGCATGTTTGTGATTGTTGACTTATTAATATAATTTATCTAAATTGTATGTTATCATAAGGTAAAATTACTTATAAGTAAATATTTTAAGTTAGCCGAACAAGCTTGATTTCCATATTTTTTGAAGCCAAGCGAGTTCATTAGTTCTCATCATATTTCTATTGATGGAATGTTCTCTTTAAACAGAATGTCTTCTTTAGTTCGAACACTATCTATAACAGGAGAGAAATTTCGGTAGGACGGTTGCATCATCAGGTATGTCACCCTGACTGATGGCCCACCACACACCCCAAGGTGTGTGGGCCACCCATCAAGGTGGCACACATTTTATAGGATTCAAGAAATCTCAACAACTCATTTGGTCTCATACTATCGACCCCCCCCCCCCCCCCCCCCCCCAAAGATTTAGTCCTATAACAGAAATGGGTGAGAAATTTATTTTAGCGAAAATTAAGAGAAATAATAAATAAAAGGGATAATTGCAATGGAGATTCTATCCCTTTCAAAATTGTGTGAGGAAAATCAATTCTGAGTAGTTTTTGTCCAAAAATTCGTTAGTTGACCAAAAGTTAATGTTTGACCATATTTTGACAAATTTAAAAAGGGCAAAATGGTCTTTTAATATTTTATTAATTAATAAGGATAATTTGCATTGGAAGTCCCAAACCTTTCAAAATATACATCGAAGGTCCCAAACTTTTAATAAATATGTCTGAAGGACCTCTAATGATTTTTACCCAAAATTTCTTGATCCACACAACCACCAATCCTAACGCTTAACCCCTAACACACCCAATCCCAACCTTTGGTAGGTGGGGGAGCCTTCGTCGATGTCAATACTGTTGGTTTTGAAGAAAATTTATAAATCTTTATTTATTTTTTTCAAGGTTTTGTTAAGAGGAAATGGACTTGATAGGATGGGAAAATGTGGTTGGTGGAGGTAGAGGAAATGATGCAGCGGTGATGGACCATGACATTAGGTCAATCAACTTAATTGTTTCCCTTGTTTTCTTCGAGTTAGTTAACTGAAAACGAAAAGAAAAATCAAAAGAAATCTATTGGGTCTACGCGAGCCTGAATTTTTTGTTTTCTCAGCCTGATAAAATAAATAATTTATTCGGTGGTCGAAGTTTGAAATCAGTTACTTATTTTGAAACTTTGCATTACGACCTTATGATCTCATGCATACCAGATTATTGTTTTTACTCAAGATTGTTTAATCCATTCTTTTGAGTCTGCATCCATCTTTTGTCAAACAAGAATAGGGTGCCAACCCGTATAAGCTTTAGAGCTCGGGCCTATATTGAAAAACGCATTGAAAAGAGCTGCAACACTCCTTTACACTGTATTAAGTTTGTTATGATGTTGCAAAAGCTGTAAAAAAGAGGCTACAGTGAGGTGATCTATAATTGATTCTTTCATTCATCACCTGTTTACCAATCATATAATTAAGCCTTGAACTTGATACTCATTTTTCGTTGTTTCGAGCAATCTAAGCTTGCTTGTATTCTTGTACAATGTTATATTTATGACGTTGAATTGAATTGGACATGACTTAACATGATTAAAGAAGAGAGATACACATATTCGAGTACACCAAAGATTGTCATATTTATAGCAGACACCTCCGAGGAGAGCACCATAAGGACCGTTCAAGCATCAGCCACCTGAATCTTTTTTTGCCATTCCGTTCAGTTTTTAATAGATAATCGAAACAGATATTATTCTCTGGCTACACAAATCACCTGCTTACCTACATTTTTCCCTGAAAACAGTCCAGCAAGAGAAACAGGACCACTTTCCAATCCTTCATTCACATCCTCTAAGTATACTATCTTCCCTTGCTTATAAAATCTCACAACATTTTCCAAAAACTGTGGAAATAAGTGTAAGTAATCACTCTGCAAAAACCCCTGCATTGTTATTCTCTTTATTACAAGATTGAACAAATTGTAAATCCCTTGTGTTTGAGATAGTTTCTGTTGAGAAACCATCCCACAAACAGCAATTCTGCCATGATCTCTCATGTTGAGGAGTACCGCATCGAGCATGGATCCACCGACATTATCGAAGTATATGTCGATGCCATTTGTAAAGTATCTGTTCCAACAAATATATGAGAAAATGAAATCAGATTTTCATTAGTATAATCCAGATCATGCTTCAATATTTAACAAAATTTGTTAACTATTTTAATATTAATATTCCTAGTTCAAGTTTGGTATGTAATACGACAAGATTGGACACTTTAATAATTAAGATTTTAACTTACTTTTCTTCTTGGTACTATCTACTTCTCCCTGCAAAACATAATATATTACAGTTTATCTGACCTTTTGAGAGCTGCGTCGAAGTCTGCTTCTTCTTTATAGTTAAAAGCTTCGTCAAGTCCAAGTTTTTTCTTCAGCAATTCAACCTGAATCGGCAATTGAATAGAACAATCACACATTACACATTGGACAAGGAGGATTGTAGACTACTTGGCAGTATTAAATAAGACAGATAAACTAAAGTCTTATTTATTATACCATCGAGTCCTATTTAGTATTTCATCAAACATGCGCCAGAAGTGTGGGGTGTTTTAATTTATCAATTTTGATTAGATCAAAATAATATTTCACGTCGTTAGGCATCGTGGTCGGGAACCTAATGGGTCACACACAAAAGAGAATTGGAAGATTGCAAATTGCCAATTGATTAATTTAACAATCGTTGGATAAATTAATTAATTGGATTTGTTATTTATATTTTCGAATTAATTAATTGGATTAATTAATTCACGGACCGGGTTTAATTAATTGGATTAATTAATTATTGGACCGGACCGGGCCGAGCCTGTTTGGGTTTATATAAATACATAACTAGGGTTTGAGGTCCATTAAGGTTTTCATTATTCTTGCTAGCACAAGAGAAAACCCTAGAGGCTGCAATCATTTTCTCTGTGTGGATCACCGTTGGAGGCTGGACAATTGGACAGCTGTGGTGGCAAATCAAAGTTGTGGAACGAAAAGAAAAACAAAAGGATTGCAGATTTGAAAAAGGTACAATCTTATCACAATTCCTAACCAAACACAATGAGATCTATTGGATGGGAATCAAAGTAATTTAATTTTTCGCTGTGCATATATAAGTAGATTCCTAACAAATATTCCTAGTTCAAGTTTGGTATGTAATACGACAAGATTGGACACTTTAATAATTAAGATTTTAACTTACTTTTCTTCTTGGTACTATCTACTTCTCCCTGCAAAACATAATATATTACAGTTTATCTGACCTTTTGAGAGCTGCGTCGAAGTCTGCTTCTTCTTTATAGTTAAAAGCTTCGTCAAGTCCAAGTTTTTTCTTCAGCAATTCAACCTGAATCGGCAATTGAATAGAACAATCACACATTACACATTGGACAAGGAGGATTGTAGACTACTTGGCAGTTTTAAATAAGACAGATAAACTAAAGTCTTATTTATTATACCATCGAGTCCTATTTAGTATTTCATCAAACATGCGCCAGAAGTGTGCATAAAAATGTACAATATATTTATTGAATCTTCCAAAAGAAGCTCACTTTTTGATTTGTTCCAGCACTTCCAACAACATAGCATCCATGTAATTTAGCAAGTTGGCCTACAAGCTGACCAACTGCACCAGAGGCAGCAGACACAAACACATAGTCCCCTTTCTTAGGTTTGCATATCTCATAGAATCCTACATAAGCTGTAAAGCCTGGCATGCCTGGAAAAATTATTACTCAAGTAATTAAAATATATATATGGCGATCAATGAAATGTGCTAAGGTGGTTGGGACATGTTTTGCGTGGACTTGAAGAGACTCTCGTTAATAGGAACCACGTAAGTTCGGTAAAAAAGATTCATGTAGTCGACTCTAAATTTTTGGTGATCAAGGTTTAATTTATTGTTGTATACTGACTCGGGAAAAGCTAATCAAGAAGTTGTGTTCTTTGGTTCTTATAAATGAAAATGCATTCTAACCTAGACAAATTCTCGAGCCCATCAATAGACAAGCAAAATTTGTCAGGAGAACACAGCATGAAGTCTCTAGGCTCGAATATGTAAGATTTTGAAACAAAGTTAGAATGACATACCAAGGAGGCCAATATGATATGAGAGTGGGAGATCATCTGCCACAACTTTTCTCAATTGGTCAGTTTTACAAATCAAACTATATTCTTCCCAGCCCGTAAGTCCTGAGATTATATCGCCCTGCTTGAATTTTGGGTTATCAGAATCCAAAACTTTGGACACCCCAAATCCTTCGATCACCTTTTCAAAATCATTGATACAGAAAATAAGCAGAGAATCCAGAATTTGGCAGCAATAAAAATATAATCAAGTCAACAAAGATTCTCTTTGTCAACACAGAAGGTTGGTCCCAATAAATTGATGTACATGGCAGGTCGGGAATCCCACGTTTTAAGAGATCGCAAGATGAAGTAAATCTATAACCTTTCACTTTTTTAGCAACTTTATTGACATTCAAGTTGAAGAATAACCAATATTTGAACTTTTAGATGAGGTGGTTCAATGTGGCATCAGAAATGAGCCACTCTAGTTCAAAAACAATAAACAAAATCCAGTTCTACATACAAACTTACAAAATAGTTTCAAGGTTACAAGAAACTAGCAAGCAGTTTCAAGTTCTCCCGGTTTTCTCCAATTTGATTTGGCTCCGGAGAGTAAGATGTTTAAGATATCAGCTTAAACTTTTAGATCAAGTGGTTCAACATGATATCAGAGCACAAAAAGTCCTAGATTAAAGTCTTATCGCAATCCATTTATTAATAATTGTGCATTTGTAAGGATTTAATGAGAAAAATATTCTCGAACACTTGTAACAACAACATGCAACAAGATTGAACTATAAGAAGAGTAAAGAACATTACAGAACCAGGGACAAAAGGTGGGATATAAGATCCATGAAAATTCCTCATTCTTCCACGCATATAAGGATCACAAGACAGATAGAGATTCTTAACCAGCATTGCACCAGACCCTTTAGGAGCTTCCATTTTCATCTTCTTCCCAACCTTAAATTCCATGTCTGTTTCTCTTGGATTTCCCTCTATGTACCCTCTAAATATTATTTGTTGGTTATCCACTTCTTCTGCCATACTTTTTCTGCAGGGCACAACACTGTCGATGCAATGGAATATTTTGACTGTGGGTGTGGTGTGGATGCTAGTTTCCTTGATTTTAAAGAGGTAAATATTTTTTGTCTTTTTGTTTCTCCTGACTTTACCTAATCAAAGTCACAGTCGGATCATTAATGATATGTTCAGTAAAGTAGATTAGAAAGGAAAAAAATTAAAATTTTACTTACCATGTACTCGAGGCTAGCAAAAGCCTGACGCGGAAACAAGGTTCACAAATAGCTGGTGAAGAGATTTGATCAACATAGATCGGACTTTGATACTTTGTTAACCATTTCATTAAGATATGAACCATATATTATTTCAATCTTGTTTTCGACTTTTATAATGTTCATAGCAATTAACTCTATAATCGTTGCTCAATAAAGAGAAGCATGTTCAAATGTATTAAAATTAACCTCAAGTTACTTATACCTAACACCGTTACGGATTCAAAGGAATAGGAGACAACATTATTATTGTACTATTGCTAAATAATGTCATTGTAACATTATTATTGTACTATAGCTAAATAATGTCATTGTAAAAGGCAGGTCCAGCTGATGGTTGGCCGGCTGGGCCATTAAGCAAGCCTAAACGGTCCGGCACACCCAGATAGGGCTACCTAACAAGAGTAAGTTTTGGTAGAGATTACTGGACTTTGAGAAAAATTTCAATTAGATAGTTCAACTTCGGGGCTTGCGTTTTTAGCACGCCCCACACTCTATATTTCTCTGGATTGATTGACTTGATCTTCGGAGTGCTTGCTAGCGTCTCCACCACCACTAGAGAAGGCTACAATGTACTTGGAATTTATTGGTCACGTTGGAGTACAAAAATCGAGGTCAGCAAAATTAATCAGACACACACTACTAAATCGGTGTTATGTGATTTTATTAGGTTTTATCTATAAGGTCCTATCGTATTTTTTTTTTTTTTAGAAACTCATATGAGCTGACTCAAGTCTCCACCCACTCCGAAAAGTGGCTTTAGAGATGAATTTCTGTTGTTAAATCAATGATTTTTAACCGAGGTCGAAATTTTTTTTGTTATTGGTGAGTAAAAGTAATTGCTTCAAGGCTAACATTGGGGAAGCTATGCGTGTGAACTTAAAGCAAAGTAGGTAACTTATGTGGCTTAAACGAAGCCAAGAATGATGAAGCAATAGAAGCCACATCTACCAACCACCATTTTGGTGGCTCACAGCCTCACAAAATTCCAATAAGATAAAAAATAAATAAATAAATAAATAATTTACGCTCCCAAATTCATTTTCAACTGTACTTTCTCTCAATAAGATCCTAATTTTATGTGGATCTATAAATCGCACATTCTTCAAAAAACTTATTTTTTACAAAATTATTCTTAAAAATCTATACCAAACATGGGCTAAATGAAAAGCAAGTTAACCATAACAGTTTGCCTTTTAAAATGAGCATTGGGCCTCTGCCGGGAAAAGAGTAGGCCTCACATGAGCCCATTCAGTTTGGACCAAGCCACCAAAGCCCAGTAGTTTCTTGGGTGGGATTTTAGGCCCAATCATAACGAGACAGCAGAGGCAGCTTGCAAATCTGGCAATCATTTTTCCTTTATGACGTTGGATTTTTTTAGGGGAAAAATTCGTATATGCATTATTACAAAATATTATTTCATGTTTTACTACGTAATGTTTAAATAACTAAAAATACTTTTTTATATATGAAATATAATAAAAAAATACTAACTTCTAATAATAGAACCCAAATAACAATTTGTAATTTGCAATCTTTTGAATAATGCACATTTCACGCCTCATATTTATTGTCTCTTCCAAGAAGAAATGAAATTCAAAAAACTGAGGATGAGTAAAGAATATCTATGACGTCCATGGCTTAAACACACCGTAGTTTATTCGTCAACCGGAAGTGAGAACTAGCGGAATCTGGATAAAATATTTTTAAATTTGAAATTGAAATCTCGTAATAATGTCACGGAACTATATACGTTTTTCAACAAGTTATATTTCATTCATAGATTTGTCAAATTTTCGCATTTGTTATATATATATATATA